ATTATAATCAAAAATAAATTTGTAGAGGAATTTTGGGGAGCTACACTGCGGTGCAAAAGTTTATCTACACTCACTGAAAATTTATTTAAAACAGTATATCTCGTGAAGAATTCGTTTAGATGACATGGATTATTTTTATTATTATTAAGTAAAAAGTGCTCTTTCTAATAAGCCAAAGTTTTAAAAATAACCCCCAATACTTATTAAAATATACACCAGTTTCCGAAACTGCTTCAATTTTTTTCGGTGCAAAAGTTTATCTACACTTTGCAAAAATTGGATTTTTGGGAAAATAAATAGCAGAAAAAATACAAAAAAAATTCTGTGGGCATTTCCATTGATACTGAGTTAAAAATTAAAAAGAACTAAGTTTTTGACTAATTTTTTCATCGAGATCTCAAATCTCGGAAATCAACGGGAAATGGGGTTACAGTACTTTAAAAATTATTTTAACCCCCCAGGGCTTATATAAAAATTTTCTTTTAGGCTGATTTGAAAGCCCATGAAATTTGCTACAAAATACCATTGGTCTCGTCTTTGTAAAAAAATCTGTATAGTATTTAAGTGTGGGTTACTTAATGTGAAATTAAAAATGAGCATTTTATGGGGTATTTTTGGAGATTTTTATCAAAAATAATAACTTATTAAATTAATCGACCCTTATCTCAAGAAGTTTTTTATCGAAAAAATTGAGCCTGGGCTATCTTATAGTAAATTTTATGGGCTTTCTAATGAGCTCAAAAGAAAATTTTTATATAAGCCCTGGGGGGTTAAAATATTTTTTAAAGTACTGTACCCCGATTTCCCGTTGTTCTCTGTGATTTGAGATCTCGATGATGAAAACTGTTACGGACTTCGTTCTTTTTTATTTTTAACTCAGTATCAATGGAAATGTCCACAGAATTTTTTTGGTATTTTTTCTGTCATTTATTTTTCTAAAAATCCAATTTTTGCAAAGTGTAGATAAACTTTTGCACCGACAAAAAACGAATTAGTTTGAGAAAAAGAAGCATATCATAAAAAGTTCTGGTGCTTATTTTTAACACAAGGGCTTATTAGAAAGAGCACGTTCCACTTAATAATTGTGAAAAAAATCATTTCATGAAAACGAAATTTCCCCGAGATATATCGTTCTAAAAAAGTTTTCGGTAGGTGTAGATAAACTTTTGCACCGCAGTGTATTGCACCCAAATAAAAATAAATAAAGCATAAACAACTCCAAAAGGAATTCTTTCGCAAAACAAATTAAAAAAAATTAATGATTTAAAAAAAAGAAAAATCTATTTTTAGATATTTATAATTATTAATTAGAGGAGGAAATGCCTCTAGCTATTTGCCCACGCATGGTTTATTCTCCAAAAATATATTTTATTTATTTGCAGAAATAGTTGTGATGTATGATTTTTAAAAGAAAATTTAAAAATTAAAATAGAAAAATTTGTAAAAACGGAGAAATTGCACACTCGCGCTTGAAATTATTGCACCAAGTAAATATATGTATAAATATGTAGTATTTTTGCCCTCAACTTTTTTTGTTTACTTTCTGGATTGTTAAGTTTGATTTTATAAATAGACAATTCAATTTTATATCTTTTGAGAAAAGTAAAGTCTAACATTCTGATACATATAAGAATTTATGGCTCTACTCCAGTTTATGCGTCCAATCGACTTTTATGCGTCCAATGAAAGTTTATGCGTCCAATAAAAAGAAAATTGGATTTTTCTTGGTATTGCACAGTTGAGGTATGGGTCCAAAGCATTTCTTCATGTTCGGGACCTACGTCCACTGGGTCTGGGACCATTCCTTACCCGACCCCTCGAAATTTCTGAAAGTTATAATCGTTTTTCTGAAATTTTAAAAAATTGGCTGTAACTTTAAAAAATTTCGAGGTATAGAGTAAGGAATGGTCCCAGACCCAGTGGACGTAGGTCCCGAACATGAAGAAATGATGTGGACCCATACCCCAACTGTGCAATACCATGAAAAATCCAATTTTCTTTTTATTGGACGCATAAACTTTCATTGGACGCATAAAAGTCGATTGGACGCATAACTGGAGTAGAGCCGAATTTATGACCCTGTGAGTAAGTAATATTTGGTTGACAAAAGTATTGGGCCAAAAGTTTATCATCCTTAATTTAATTCAAAAATGTGCAAACTTGACCTAAAAATGATTTTGCGTATCAAAATTAAATATAATTATTCTCTTAAGAGCGAAACATGATGAAAAAACAAGAAAAAAGTCGAAATCTGAGAAGGGCATGAAGACGAAGACTACTAAAAATTAAAGAAGCGCATACCATATATCTTTTAATCCGGTGGAGGGAGAAATTAATCGAGGGGGGGGGGGGAGTAATTATACGAGGTTCGAAGTTTGAACGTTGTTTAGGGCATTTGTTTGGGGGTAATTATTGTTTCAATCTATCGCTGGATGGGGTAATTAATGGAAGTGGGGTAATTATGCATATGAGGGAGGGCAATTAAAACAGGTTATACGGTACATTGCAGAAGCCGAAGACTCACACATAGAGCGGAATTGAGGAGGGAGTGGAATTGAGGAGGGAAAAAGGTCTAACCATTATGCAACTAATTGGGAAAGAATAAAAAAACTAACAAAGTTCAAAATTACCAAATCAAGATTTTCCCTCCTTTTAGTTGAGATACATAAATGAACATTTTTACTCTATTGGACATTTTGAATTGGGAAGAATTGGGGTTGGGACGAATTGTGCATGTATGTGCTCAGACAAAATGCCAATTTACATTTCGTCCATTTAGCCTGTTTTTCGGCTCCAGGACATATAGACAATGAACACTTGAACAGTAAACAGCGGAGTGGACACTTGGGAAGCAAGGAAGAGGATTCAAGTTTTGACAAAATTATAAAAATAAACAAAGCCGAGTTGACAATGAGTCAGTAACACCAAAATTAGCATGCTCTGACTTAATTAATTAATAAATATACTCTTTCCCTTTTGACCTTTTAGTTTTCCATTTCTGACCATTATATAATTTTCCCATTTATTGACCATTTATTCTTTTTTTCTGTTTGCTATGAGCTGTCTGTTAACGGATTTGAACCACTGTGAAACATAAATTATCGTGGGTTGTCTGTATGATATTTTTCATTTTTGAAATTAATTGATAACTAGATTGGCAATATAGTAGACGTTTTTACATAGACATTTTTTATTCTTTAATTTTGAGAATGATTTAAAGTTTTTGTTTATTTATTCAAAAATTAAAAATATACAACGAAAGGGAATCCACTAACATCGTTGTCGGATAAATTTAAATAAAGTTTAAGTCAAAAAAAAAGTCATAAATGGGAGGTCAAAGGATATGTATAAAAACAAAACATAAATTGTAAATAATAAAAAATAAATAAAAAAACATATTGTGATAGGTCTTTCCAACTGTAAAATAATAGAAAAAAATTGGTGTGTGTTTAATAGTAAAAAATAATAATAATTTGTAAAAGTAATAATTTTTTTCTAATTATTTGACAGTTAGAATTTAGTATAAAAAAATTAACTATATTGAGTATTGGGGAAGCCACACATGTATAGATATTTAGTGTAGTAAGCATAAAATTTAATTTAAGTTATTAGATTTTTATGTAGAAATTTTTTATGTAAATGTTTTTTTTTTTGGGGAAATTACCATATTTTTTATTTTTATAGTCTATATTTTTTTTATATTTCGTTTATAAATAGCTGAGTAATTCTGTGTTTAAAGGACAATATTGAGTGGGAGTTTAATGTAACTTTATCTAGAGTATTCCATAGTGAAGAGCTTCTATTAACAAAGGAATGAGCGTTTTTTGAGGATCTGCATTTAAACATAAGTCTATTAAATTGCTTATGAGATGGATGAGTGGAAAATCGGTATAGGTGAGTAGGATCTAAATGGGTAAAACCTTTAATAATTTTAAATGCAGTTACGAGGTCATAAATTTTTCTGCGGGTATTAAGAGATTGCAATCCAAAAAGTTGAAGTCTTTCAGGATAAGGAATTTTAGGTAACATACATTTTTTGAGAGCAATAGATGTAAAGAATTTTTGGCATTTTTCAATTTGTATTATATCTTTTTTGAAATGAGGGTTCCAAATTTCAGGTGCATATTCAAGTATGGGTCTGATATAAGATTTATACACTAATGTCCAAGTTCTAATGCTCCTAGATCTGATAGTTTTAAATAGAATTTTCATACGATAATAAGCATTTCGAACAATAGTGTCAAAATGTTTTTGAAAGGATAATTTATTATCAATTATAATTCCTAAATCTCTTATAGAATCTAAACCCATAATAATATTATCTCCAATTTTATATTTGTGCATTTGGTTATTTTTACCAAGATAGAGAACATAAGATTTATCTGAGGAAATGTTAATACCCCATTGATTGCACCAAAGTTCAATATTAGTGATCGTTTCAGTTAGTAATGAATCATGAATTAAATATATCTTAATATCATCAGCAAATAATTTAACAGATATGCCTTTTGGAATAATATCTGGAAGATCGTTTATATAAATGATAAATAATAAGGGTCCAAGGACAGAGCCTTGTGGTACACCCAAAGGTGCACTGTAATAAGATGAAAAACTATCATTAATTTTTACACGGTATTTTCTATTTGTTAAAAATTCTTTAATCCAATTGTATATTTTACCCCTAACACCAATTTTATAGAGTTTATATAAAAGTAAGTCATGTGGGATAGAATCAAAAGCTTTTCTAAGGTCTAAATAGATGCAATCTATGTTTTTATTAGAAAATATTCCATCGATTTAGAAAATATTCCATTTATTTGATTTTATTGATTTTTTCTTGAAATTAATCGTTTCTTTTATTTTATAATTTTTTAGCTTTTATCTAATATATAAATTTTAAAGTATTAGCTTGGCGCATCAAAATATTTTTTAAAATTTCTTTTGCGCAACTTATATACTAAAAGACTCTTTTACTTTCAATAAATCCCCGTCTAAAATAAATGGCTGCAGTTGTTTCTCAAAATAGTAGCAAAGTATGTTTTTATTAAAAATTTCCTCAAATTTTGTTTTTTTAAAGGAATTTATCGTTGGAATTAAATATAAACTTAAAAGGAAGATTGGGAGTGGTTCTTTTGGTGACATTTATCTTGCAATAAACATACAAAATGGTGAGGAGGTTGCTGTTAAGTTGGAATCAGTGAAGGTTTGTTTGGGGGGTATTTTGGACTTTCAATGCTTCTAATTTTTATTTCTCCCTACTTTTTTTGTGTTTTGCCTCTGGCAAAAATCAGTCAAAAATGATTATTTTAAAGTAATTGTTTCATCATTTAGTGCTTTGGCCTCCACATTATTTCTTTAAGTCCAAGCCTCTTGCCATGTTCGGAATCGTTATTCGAACAGTTTTTCGTGATAATCGGAAATGAGAATGTGACGCTTCTCACAATTCTCGTTTCCTTATTTAATTGTTACTTTCTGATTAATCTTGACTTTTTATTAAAATTTCCAGTTAATACTTTTTTAACTTGTTTGAAGTTAATTTTTATTTTTAATTTAGGCTCGTCATCCGCAATTACTTTATGAAAGCAAAGTCTACAAGATTTTACAAGGAGGTGTTGGTATTCCACATATTCGTTTTTATGGAATCGAACGGGATTACCATTGTCTTGTGATGGACTTGTTGGGACCTTCACTTGAAGATCTTTTCAACTTTTGCAGTCGACGTTTCACTATGAAGGTTTTTTAATAAAAAGGGGAATAGTTTTGTAACATTTTATTTCAGACAGTTTTAATGTTGGCCGATCAAATGATTGGTCGAATTGAGTATATGCATGTCAAAAACTTCATTCATCGAGTATTTTTTTCAATTCATTTTATAAACTTTCCTCTCTTTCAGGACATTAAGCCAGACAATTTTTTGATGGGAATTGGACGTCATTGCAACAAACTCTTCATTATTGATTTTGGGCTTGCGAAGAAATATCGTGACTCGCGCACTCGAATTCATATCCCTTTTCGTGATAATAAAAACCTCACCGGAACTGCTCGTTATGCGTCTATTAATGCTCATATGGGTTTGTGATTGAATTATTGGGAAAGAATCACAATTGGGTGGGGAATGTGTTTACTTCTTTTAAGGTATTGAACAGTCGCGTCGTGATGATATGGAGTCTTTGGGTTATGTGCTTATGTATTTCAATCGTGGGAATTTGCCGTAAGAATATTTGGCTTTTTTTAATTTTCACACTAATATTTTATCTTTTTTCTTAACAGCTGGCAAGGATTGAAGGCAGCCAATAAGAAGCAGAAGTATGAGAAAATAAGCGAAAAGGTATTTTTAAATTTTGGGGATTTTTTAAATTTATAAAGGTGTGTTATATGTTCATTAAAAACTTTTATTAAATACCTAATTATTTTTAACTTTTCTGGAACCAAATGAAAATTTATTGAAATTTTTAAGAAATTTATTCCCATAAGCAACATTCAATTTCTATTGTTTGCTAAAATTTCTTTTTTAAAGAAAATGTCTACACCAGTGGAAATTCTATGTAAGGGCTTCCCTTCTGAGTTTTCTATGTATTTGAACTACTGTCGCGGGTTGCGTTTTGACGAGGCGCCTGATTATATGTATTTGCGCCAGCTATTTCGCATTCTCTTTCGCACACTGAATCATCAGGTTTCTTTTATTTTTCAAGGCTCTAGAGGTGGGCGTAATACCAGTAATGATTACTTACTCGTGATCAAATTAGTTAAGTGGTTGAGCAAAATTTAGGCTTCTGAATTGTAAATATTTTTGTCACCAGGATAATAATGCCGCTGGTTTCTTTATATTCTGGCATGGGGGTATAGAGTTGAAACTGAATCGATGATTTTTCGGTTCGGCTCTCGGTTTTACACCTGTCATTTTCATTTTTTCACATTTCCCTTCTATACATTCTTGTTAAGATCCGTTCACCAATTTGTAAGAAGTTATCTAATATTAAATAAATTAAAATTTTAAGTATGACTATACCTTCGATTGGACTCTTCTTAAACAAAAGGCTACAATGAACAATCCAAACACGAGTGTTACTAACCAAACAGACGGAGCAGGAGCGTCAGTACAGCCACAGCAATGAATATAGTCTCGGCAACCGTTTGTTCATCGTAAAAAGAATAAAAAATGCTTCTCTTTTAAGAAAATATCAAAGATCAAAAACCTTAACCGAAAGAAATCATGAAACTTTTTTAATCCTAAAAAATCTTTGACTTGATTAAAATTTAATTTTTTTTTCGAAAAAACGCTTAAAAATAAGTCTCATTCGGTTATGGTTCCGCAGTGAGATTAAAATTTGTCGTTATTTGCTTAACCTTCATCTCCCATATATTTTTTCAGAGTATCAAAAGACTTGAACATTTTTAATAATGGATCTAAATTTCATTCTCTGTACTTTTATGTTATTCTCTACCATTTAGTTTTCCTGACCTTCCTTTTCCAAAAAAGTACTTTCCACTGTAAGTCCACGTCGTAAGTGGCCAGATGTTGTAATTAGAACTAATGCCAACGTTGGGTGTGTGTACCACGACTATCTGCAATAAGTTCATTGTTTTATCATAAAATTTTTTGGAAACGAGAGCTCTAATCAAGTAAAGTTATGATACACACAATACTGGACCATAGGTTCTAAACAGCCGGGGCTCCTTTTCTGCTGAAAGAAGAAAACTAAATGTTGGGAGATAACATAAAAGTACCCCATTCTTTTTTATGCAAGGGATAATTTATCGTGTTTTAGTCTTTTGGTTATTTCTCTGATTGCCTTTTCCTATCACTCCATAAAATCGCATATAACTATTTTGATCTACAGCGGCAGCTTTGCACATTTCTCTCTCCTATGTAGAACACACCTTGTATTTGGATGAAAGACGTATTTTAAAAAATGAGTGTAAACTACAAAATTTTTGATTAATACTTTTTATCAATACATAATTCTCATTTAATCTGTACGTCATTAATGATCCAAAAAAACTTTGATTTTTTGTCAAGAGTTAAATGCTATCATAAATTTGAATAACGAGACGTTTTTGATTATTTTATAAAGTTAAGGAATTATCAAAATATTAAGTTGGTAGCCATTTATTCTTCCTATGTACTTGATATTAAGGCAACCCCGATTACCTACTAACAGCTTTGAGATTGCTCTATTCTACCCGTCAAGTTCGATGCTATATTTCAAAATGCTAAGCGTGGCGGTTAGTAAAATTCTCTCTTGGAAGTTCTTCGGAGTCGAATTATTCATTGATGTTGTTATAAGTTACTTTATATTTCGGTGTTTTGGAATGACCGTCGTGCATCTAGTATAAAATCGCTCTCCACCTCCGGGTTTTACAGTTGCTCTACTCTACACTTCAACGATCGACAACATCTCTTCAAGGATGGCAGTATCGCTCGATCCGGAGTCAATTCAGGTGCCCGCTGCAGGAGGTGAAATCACGCTACAGCTGAAGAACAGCAGCGCTGAGGTATGCATCATTTTATTTAGTGTTTAGGGCTTCTAATGTAGTTTAACCATCTCGATTTTTACAGGGTCGCTATGCCTTCAAGGTCAAGTGCACCGACAACGATCATTACCGTGTCAACCCCGTATTCGGTTTTGTCGACGCGTCCGGTAATGCTGCGGTTCTTGTGCGTCGAACGGTGAAAGAAGGCAAAAGATCATATAAAATAAATTTTTGTTTCTTCAGGAAGGCCCTCCGAAAGCTGATGGTCGTCTGGAAGTTCACTTCATTCCTGCTCCAGCAGATGCTACTGAAGCAAAGGCGCTGTTTCCTCCTGGAAGTTCGTCGGAGTTCAAACTGAACGTGCCGTTGATCGCAGAATAAGTAGCAAAGAGGAGGAATGATCATCAGCCGATTGGATAGGAACATGCTGTTGGATAGTAAATGTGATAATAATTCGATTATCCTCGTTCCATAATAATTTGCCTATTGTTGTACATATGTATTATTACCTTGTTTTTGTTTGTATTGTAAATAAAACCTGTATATAAAGTTATAATGGTGTGTGTGAAAGAATTTAGTAAAAACGGCTGCTAACGGTTCTAAAATTTTGTCGGTTTTGAGTTTGGGAGTTCCAAAAGTTTGACGGAGTTAAGCTTTTTGTCCAATTAAGCTTTTTGTAACTTCCTCTAAGTACATATAAAAGCGCTCTCCATCTCCGGGTTTTACAGTTGCTCTACTCTACACTTCAACGATCGACAACATCTCTTCAAGGATGGCAGTATCGCTCGATCCGGAGTCAATTCAGGTGCCCGCTGCAGGAGGTGAAATCACGCTACAGCTGAAGAACAGCAGCGCTGAGGTATGCATCATTTTATTTAGTGTTTAGGGCTTCTAATGTAGTTTAACCATCTCAATTTTTACAGGGTCGCTATGCCTTCAAGGTCAAGTGCACCGACAACGATCATTACCGTGTCAACCCCGTATTCGGTTTTGTCGACGCGTCCGGTAATGCTGCGGTTCTTGTGCGTCGAACGGTGAAAGAAGGCAAAAGATCATATAAAATAAATTTTTGTTTCTTCAGGAAGGCCCTCCGAAAGCTGATGGTCGTCTGGAAGTTCACTTCATTCCTGCTCCAGCAGATGCTACTGAAGCAAAGGCGCTGTTTCCTCCTGGAAGTTCGTCGGAGTTCAAACTGAACGTGCCGTTGATCGCGGAATAAGTAGCAAAGAGGAGGAATGATCATCAGCCGATTGGATAGGAACATGCTGTTGGATAGTAAATGTGATAATAATTCGATTATCCTCGTTCCATAATAATTTGCCTATTGTTGTACATATGTATTATTACCTTGTTTTTGTTTGTATTGTAAATAAAACCTATATATAATGTTATAATGGTGTGTGTGTTAAAGAATTTAGTAAAAACGGTTACTCAGCTCCGGCTGCTAACGGTTCTAAAATTTTGTCGGTTTTGATTTTGAAGAGTTCCAAAAGTTTGACGGAGTTAAGCTGTACTTACACTTAACACTTTCTTGAACGCAACTCTGGTTTAAATAGGTGACAATAACTCTCACCGTAAATAAAAGATTTAAAAAAAATCATTAAGGATCTTAGCTCAATTCATCATAAATATTTTGGAAAATCCGATCACTAGTATAGAACTTACTGTGGTGATGAAATAGTTGCCTAAAATATTTATATTTCAAAACAGTTTATTAAAACGATTGTCTTTATTAGTACTGTAACAGTAAAATAAAATCGATTGTGACAATCAGACAAAATTTTTAGAAATTGATTTTTTATTTGATTTTCTTACTTAATTTATCGCATTTAGATTTTATCTTGTTTAATTTGTGAATTGTATTGTTGAAATTTGCTTTAAACTCCCAATGAACGGAACTATGACAGAAACCACTGACGGCACTGCACCGTCTAATGGGGAAACATCGGATGAATTGCAAAAGTTTTCACAAAAAGGTGAATTAAACGATGACTATTCGGTAACTGAATATTCCTCCTATCAACAACCACAACAAAACCAAGGCTTGATTCTAAAAAAATAATATTTTTTTTTGTTCTTTTTTATTAACCTCTTTTTTATTGTTAAGATGCTGCTTGTTACCTTCGTTGTCGTGGACTTCCCTATTCTGCATCGGAGAGTGACGTTAGAAAATTTTTTGAAGGTTTAAAATTGGAGATTTACTTTATTTTTTTATAAAATTTTTTAGATTGGAATGTTGTTGAAGTTAGTTTCACAAGTAGCATTGATGGAAAGCCTACTGGTGAGTGTTATGTGCAATTTGGAACTCGACAAGAGGCTTCTGATGCTCAATCTAAAGATCGTCAAACAATTGGCAGCCGTTATATTGAAGGTTTTTGAAATATTTTATTCGTTTTTTGGAAATTAAATTCTTTTTAAGTTTTCCAAGTAAGCGATATTGAAATGGAGCAACTGATGAAACGTTTACATATGAAACGCACTATGGCAACTAAAGGTTTTGTACGTGTTCGTGGACTCCCTTATACTTGCACAAAAGACCAAGTCCAGCAATTCTTTCAAGGTTTGATTTTTGAGTTCTATGAAATGTTTCTCTTTGGGCTTACCAGACCACCCTAAGAGTTTAAATTGGTTTGGTTGTAATGGTCTATGAGTGTGAAAATTTTTATTCTTGTGTTAAAAATTTTCGTGCTTCGACCGTATTTTCACTAATTGCAAATTATTTTTGGTACTTATTGGTTTTTACTACGAATTCTTTTTTATTATGTCAATGTAGTCAGAAAATGTTCTTCAGTTATATTTTTATAAAATGTTTTTGATGGAAATGATTTCTTCAAACAAAAAACGTGTTTAATTTAACTCTATCAAAAATTTTGATTAAAAATTAATATTTTCTTTCTACATTAACATAATTGTAGAATAAAGGGGTTGTCTAACAATAAGTCTTTTATTGCATTTAGTGTGAATACGGTTCTCAAAATATTTAGTTAAAGAAAAATTGTTTTTGCTCAGGGTTGACAGTGGAGGAAGTTGTCTTTGGGAAGGAACCCGGGCTAGAGGGGCGACCAACGGGAGAGGGGTTTGTGAAATTCGGCGCCTCCGAAGAGGCAGAACGGGCTTTGCAACTTAATGGGCAACATATGGGGACAAGGTATGGATCAATAATTTTTGATGTTTTTGTCGGTTAGCTGCTCTTTTTTTCTTAAATTGTTTCATTCTTTCCTGGAATATCGGAGTCTATTTTCTATTTTTATTCACTTGATTTGGATTCTAACTTTGATTTTTCTTGAATCTAATCAAGGTTGCCAACTGAAATCAATACATCTTTTTTATTTATCCAGCTATAGACACTGATCATTTTGGTATCAATGTCTAAATTATTTTATTAGATAGAGAATGATTCAATTTTAATTGAACTCAACTTGTATCTAAAATAAAAAAAAAGTAAATTTAAAAAAATTGAAGACTCTTTGGTAGGAATTTATTTTATTTTCTTACCAACTTTCCTATATTCTCTGATGTTTCTTATCTTTTCTATATTAATTTGATACTACATTGCTATAATTTAAAATTTTTAGATACTTGGAAATATTCAAAAGTGATGGAGCCGCGTTTGAAGCTTTTAAATTGCGTTCACAAAACAATATTGTCCCTTTGAAAGCTCTAGCACAGTCTACTCCAGATTGGGGGCCTGGATATGGTGGTGGATATGGCTATGGCGGAGGCGGATATGGTTATGGACCTGGTCCCGGTGATCATTATGGTGGTGGATATTCATTTGGGTATGGGTTTTGTTTTGTATTTTAATATGACAAAAAAAACGTTTCGTGATTTTGAATGAGTTATTCCATTAAAAAATACTTTTTAGTTCTGGTTATGAACAACGTGGTGGAGGCGGACGCCCATATGGAAGAGGATATAATGGTATTTTTATTATATTCAGTAAAGTCGTCTAATAATGACGTTTGGTCCTGACTCAAGCCTTTTCTTTTGGGTTTTTCAGTTTGGGGTCAAGTCATGGTCTCCACTATTTCGAGATGTTTGTAAAAGTTATCGATGGTCGGAATAAATGAATTTCCCATATTTTTTACTAGGGACCAAAAAAGAAACTGAAAATCAGCGTTACTATTCAGTTCTCAATAATTCTTATTTTAGATGCTCCTTCTAATCGCTATTCACCATATCCCAACTATGGTGGAGGTTACGGTTATGGCGGTGGAGGGGGAGGAGGAGGAGGTCGTCATGGTGGGCGAGGCAATCGAGGTGGCGGTGATTATCGGGGTGGATATGATGATGGTTATGGTGGTGGAGGTTATGGGGGCGGTGCTGGATATGGTGGTTATCAAGATAGTATTGTTGGGCCTACTAAAGTATTTTTATACATTTTTTCGAAAAAATTCAAATATTTTTTGCAGGTTTATATGCGTGGTATTCCATTCCGAATTACTGCTGCGGAGCTTGAACGATTTTTTGCACCTTTAGTTCTTGTTGACATACAGGTTTTTATAATATTTTTAGTTGTAAAATAATTCTAAATAAAATACTTCTAAAGATTGGAGCGATGCCTGATGGCCGGTCAAGTGGTGATGGTATTGTTGAATTTCAAACACCGGCAGATGCTCGCCAAGCTTTAAGCAAAGATCGCGAGAGCATTGGATCTCGGTATATAAATTTTTTCCAAATTTATCAATGTGTTTTTGTAGATATATTGAACTATTTCCAACCGTTAACGCCAAAATTCCGTCTCATGTGAATTATAACAGCATTGGCGGGAAAGGAGGAGCACTACCACGTGCTGGTGGTGCTGCAGCTGGTGGTGGTTCGGAGCTTTCAGCGCCATCTCAGCAATATGTATCGGTTTTTTAATACATACCAGTTGTGCCCGAACTTGCCTTCATTCTTGAAACCTATACGAATTTACATTTTAAAAAACTGTTATAATTTTGGAGTTTTTTGTTTCCTTCTGTACAACGAGAGAGTACAATAGAAAGGTTTCAAGAAGTCATTTAGGCCATTCAATAACATGTAGCTCCACGTGCTGTAGTAACTATTTTTCGTTACAGGGTCAGTATGGACAATATGGCAGTGACTATTATGGATATGGCGGTGCCGGGTATGGGGGAGCTGCTGGTGCTGGGTACGGCGCTTCTGCTGCTGCTGGGTATGGTGGTGGAGCTGCACAAGATGTCAAACCTGTTGATTACAATTGGTAAAAAAGATTTTAAAAATTTCAGTAATAGTCACTTGTGGGTCTTCATATTTTGTTTCTTTCAATTCCTCTACATATTTTTCCTGGTGTTAATTTTCACTACTATTTTTTCCTAAAATAAGAAAGGAAGGAGAAATTAGGCCCATAAACGTGTAATTATTACCTAATTTTTTGGTTAAAAATTTAAAACGATTTATTAAAGGCCAACTGCACAGTACTGATAGAGGAGGAAAAAGAATTGGTAAAACAAATTTTGGAATCTGAGAATATTTTCCTGGAATTTACTTTTCTTACTTTTTGAACTTTTTAATTATATAAACCTCTTTAAGTCCCAACAAAAATTATAATATTTTTGTTCCATTTCCTAATTAATACAAACAGTTATTTTTCCATCATTTTAAAATGTTTCTTTTTTCATCTCAGAATTTCTGACATATTTATTTAGTTTTTGATTTTTGATGCTTTTATTTTAGCTATCATTTAATTGTTTATGCAATTTAAGATAAAATATTTTGGTTTAAATTTTGTTATTGGGGGGAAATATTTAATAATATTGGGAAATTTTGTCAATATAATTAATTAAACTTGTTAATTTGGGGGATTAAATTTAATTTCATACCTAGACGAAAGCCCGTATTTTACCAGAATTATGTAAATACACTTTTAAGATATTTGGCTTTTGTTTGGTTATAATTTCAACGGTTTAAGCCTCGAACTTTGAGTTAAAATTGGACTTCATTGATTATGCATATAATATATGTACATATGTATTTTATGCGAACAGATTATTAAATTTGTTTACAAAATTGGGAAATTGTTGAGGTGGTCCCTGATTATTTTCATTTTCATCTCTAATCGATTTCAGCAATACAATGTTTAAATGTTTATCAATTTTTTTCTTTTTTTCATTTTATAGCTAAAAATTATTAATGAAATTAAAATTGAGTTCAAATTAAGTTACAGGTATTTATGATAGATAGCTGTAATGATTTTTGCTAATAGAGGAACGACGAAGGTTTTTCTTCTGCTAGTTCATTAAATATGCCTTATTCGTGACTTTAGCTACTTTAGTTTAGATCCGATAAACCATAAAAAAGTTTTTTTTGTTGATTAACTAAGAAGAAGAGGGCATTTAATGTTTTATTTAAATTTTGTTTTCCACGTGGTTAATTGAAGTTAAAGGAGAAAAGAAACTTAAAAGAAAAAAATTCCAGAATATGCCCATTAATTCATTTTACTTATCGTTAATGGCCCTTAAATGAAATTTTTGTCTAAACAAATAACTTTAAGGGACAAACATTAAAAAAACTTTTTAATTTTTATTTTCGGCATTAAAATGTCAAAAACAATTTTTATATAAAATAATTTGAATTTCTTTGCTTTTTTACTTTCAACTCCTTTAAAAGTAATTTACAGATTTTAAATGACGATTTTTTGTAAAAATCTTTCCTTAGTCACAGTCTGAAATTATTTACATTTTTTAAGAATTTCCCCCAAAAAATAATTTTTTTGGAATATTAAAATACTACTGAGAATGAGTTCTTCAACAGAACAAAATCGACGAAGATTTGCTTCTTCACCTTTCACTTGGCGTTCGCAGAGTGCGCCGAACCGAGATAAATGGTATAGGAGAGGTAACTTTTATTGTAACAAAAGGTTGACTAATAAAAATTAAAAATTAACTTAAAAAGGCCCACTTTCTCGTCAACGAAGTAGACAAGAATCTTCTGGAGGAGAATCTTCTCAAATTTTAGATCATATGGTGTCACGCCGTTTAGTGAGTGCAATTGCTGCATGGCATGATTTACATGTTTCTCTTTTACAACTTTCAATGAGTAGAGCAGAATTAAATAATGTTGAAAGGAAGGAGGCAAAAAATTAAAAATTTTTTTTTGAAAAAATAAAAATTTTAGATAGAAAGGAAATTAACAATAAGAAGACGTGATGGAAGTGATGATAGTTCATCTCCATCGTTAGTCGGCTCTAGACGACCCTCACAAAGAGGGAGAGTTGAACAAAGGAGAATATCTACAAAAATACGCAAAGGTTGTTCAAAAAAAAAAAAAATTTTGAACAATATGTAATGTTGATGAAGTAATTCACCAGTCGGGATGGGGGGGGGGGGAGATTATTGGTGAATAACAATTTTATTTAGGAGAACTTTGAGGATTAATTGGGGTCCTGACTTTTGCTGTTTCTGTTATGGGTTCTGTCAATTAAAAGTACGTGAGGGATGAAACAATTTAGAGAGGGGACAAATGAGAGATACCGTAGTGGACAAAAGAATAGTGACAGGTCTTAAAACTGAACAAATATTCATCCAAACAAAAATTTTACTTTAATTATTCTTTTTAAAGTCCCTTCAATTCGCCCAAATTTACTTTGTCCAAAAACACAAATTGAACAAGTTTGTCATCATCAAACAACAACATCATCCCCGTCTTCTTCTTCATCCACCTCTTTATCTTATCTCTGTTCGACAACAACAAATGACAGCCAAAATAAAAAATTAGAAGAAAAAATAAATGAAAGATTTAATGATGAGGAGGAAATTAAAAATTCTACAAAAAATCGAAGTAATTCATTTGGACATATTCAAAAAGGAAAATCAAAAGAAGAACATTCATTAATTCATCAAAACACTGAAAATAATGAATTACCAACAACTTCTTCCCCTCCAACTTGGACTGCTACTTTTGCACAAAGTTTGCAAATACGTTCATCATCAACGCGAAGACGTATTCGATCCCCACGACCTCCTGCTAAACACATTCTTATATTGAAGCGTAAGTTTGTTTGTTTTTGATTTTAGATTAAATAGAGTTAAATTCAGTATAAGAACTGAATAAAAAATTAAAAAATAAATAAAATTCAGTATAAAATATAGAGCAGGGGTGCCGTTTCGCTTTTTAAAATCTGTTTCGGCACACCCCTGATATTGAGGTAAAAATTTTATCTTATGATGGTAAATTGAGATCTTTTGGTTATTTAAGTGAAAATAATTAAGGCAAACTCAAATATTTAAGCGGCTTATTCCCGAAAGAACAAAAGAAAAAGTTTCTTTTAATGACCTTAAAAAGCAACAAATATCTGAAGAATTTTTTTGATTATTTTTACTAAATAATCATACCCTCCTTATCGATTTTCTGTTAAAAAACTTTAAAAATATTTGAATTGAACGGGAAAAGGAATTAGTTATTTATCTGTTCGGCGAATATCTTAAAAAAGACTATTTATTTTATTTGGATCTTTGGGAAAGAGAAAGAAGGGTGTTGTTTTATTTTATCGAACCAGTCTGTTTGTAAAAGTGGAAGAGGGGGGGGGGGTAATCGAATGTTTGTGTGATTTGGGAATTGATTCATCTTTAAAAAATATTTTTGTAAGGAAAGAAAGGAAAGGTCTTTGTGCTTATTTTATTGTTAATATTAATACAGAAAATAATAAAAATAAATTTAATTTTAAATAATTTAAACAAAAATTAATTAAAAATATTATTTAATCTACTACAATTTAATATTCAATTTTTTAATAATGAAAACTTATTATGTGCTGCATTGATTTTTTATTTTTTCGATTATTTAGTAAAAGTGATTAGAGCTAATCCCCTTATTATAAGATACACTCAATAATACATAATACAATTGAGGGGAGGGGGAGGGGGGGGGAAGAGGGGAGATGCAATTTTTTGATTAACTAAGAGAGGGTGTATCTTAGACTATATAAAATTATTTTTTCTTTTTTCAATTTCCAGATAGTGTTCAATTACTCGAACCAAAAACTCAAGGAATTGAATGTATATCCTCTACAAATACTTCAAATCAATCAACAAACTTTAAAGAAAATAAACAAACATTAGAAACAACAAATTCATTAAAAAGAAGGGGAAAAAGGAGGTGTTTTAGTGTTGCTAAATTGGATGAAAATAGAAAACAGACTGTTAGTTAATTTGGAATTTAAAAAAAAATCTGAAAAAAAATATACAAAAATTTAGAAAAGTTAAATTCACTTTCAGGGAAATGTTTTTAGTATTTCCCTTTGTTTAACGGATATTTCACCTCCCATCGAACATATGTAGGCTAACTTGGTTACGGCGTAAAGCCATAACTTACTTCAAGATTTCCGAATCTTATCAAATTTAGTATTAAACAATTCCTCTCATCGAGCTAAAGAGATTGGTACCAAAATTGATAAAGGCCGGAAATTTTCCAGCAAGTTATGGCTTTGATCCGTTATGGCCGCGCGCCAACTTGGTCTTGTCCCTGATTTGATATAAAATTATAAAAATAGTTTATTCAAATGTTTTTAAATTAATTTTGGGTCCCTCATTAAAAAATAAAATAAATTTTTTTAAAGAATTGCCAAAAAATAACAAATACAAGAAGAAGGCAATTTAGTTATCAAAGTGAAGATACCGACAATGAAAAAATAATTAATAATGAATTTAACAATAATGATGAACTTTTAACAAGTTGTAGTAGTGGAATAATTTCTGAAAATGAATTGGATGTAAATTTAAATTTAGAAAAATAAAATAATTCTTTTTTTTAAGGTAATTTATAATCAAGAAAGAATTCATTCTCTTTCAAGTCCAGAATTATCCCCAGATGAATTAAAACAACTTTTTCCAGAACTTAGCGATCATTGGCGGTAGGTTTGTGTTGACAAAAATTAATTTAAAAATTATTTTTCTTTTATTAATTATTCTCTTAAAATGTTCACAAATTTTATTCGCAAATGTGAATAAAATTTGTGAATTTTTTTCCTTCAAAAATCTCTTTAATCTCTTTAATTTTGTCTAATATTTATTGAGTGGGCATATATATTTACATGTGGAAGGATTTGTTGCTTTTGGTAAGAATTTTTTATTTTAAAAATTAACTTTTAAATTATTAAATCCCTTAAACTAAACGGAAAATTTAAAGAGAAAATTTTTGTTAAATAATTACCTATTTTTAATTAAAAAAAATAATTAAAGAACTCCTTCCTCTCTTTAAGGGAAATAACCACAAAAACTTTTTTTAATTAGGAATTTTTCTTTTTTTTAATTAAGCAATTTTTTATCGAATATTTTTTTGCATTTTAATTAATTTTATTTTTTAATTTAATTTGAATTTTATTCAATCTTTTTCTTTTATTTTTTTTGTGTTTTGCCCAAACTCCAAAAAAAGTTTTTACCAATTTCTTTTTTATTTGTTTTCAAATTTTTGCAAAAACTTTTTTCTTTCAATTCACGCAATATATCCTTTTAAAAGCATTTATTTAATTCTATTTTTATCTAATAAAAACGGAAAATGATGTAAATAAAATTAAAAAATAATTTTTTTTTGGTTTTATAAAGATTAATTCTTGCTGGGTATCCGAGAGGGAGAAAAAAAGTTTTTTAAATTTATTTGGGTCAATTCAAGTCCATACATATTTCTTTAATCTTGAAAAATTAAATAATAAATAAATGATCAAAAATATTTTTACGAAACAATTAAAATTAAGTAGAGAAAAGGAGAGAATTAATTAATTGATATTTGGACAGCAAAAATGTCTGTCGGACCCCATAAATAAAAATAATTTTTGAGAGAGTGCGCGAGGGAAGAATTAAATAAAAAATATTTGTCTTAAAAATAAAAGAGACAAAAAAGCCAATATATTTACTCTAAATTATTATTAAAAAATATTTTTTTATTTAATCCTTGGAATGGTGTAGAGAGGGAGATAAAAGAGGGGAATATATATTTTTAATAGAGCTAATGCGTTGCGTAATTGAGCGTGTTTAGAATTAGTTTTTGTGGCATTTTAGTTGAATATATTTACTTTTATTTTATTTTAGAGGATGTGGCAAATTCGCTATATTTTTTTGTTTTCGGCTTAACTAAAAATAAGTTAAAATTAATAATTCCTTTTTTTATTAGATTTCCAACAAATTGTTGGTAATAAATGTATCAGAGTTAATAAAAAAACGTTCGAATATTTGGGGAAGTAAAAAACATTTCTTCCTGCCAAAGTTTATTCAAAAGCCCACATATCATTTAACCTTCTGATTTTGACGTCAAACGAATCAGCTGGAAGAAATGCACATACTTTGAGATCGGGCCTTTAAACTAATCCAAATTTTGCCAAAAACTGCTCAAACATTGAGTAAAAATTAATTAAATTATTAGATTACTTGCTTTTAACAATTTTCTTTACGTATTGTGGATCTAATAAAAATAAAGAATTATCAATTCTTATTCAGTTTTAGCCGAATCTAAACAATCTATAATTTTCTTTAAATTTTTTAATTTTTATTTTCTTTTTATAATTTCTTTCCCTCCCGAATGATTAAAATTTCAATAAATTCAATTTCAACACAAGAATCTTTTATTTTGATTTTTTTAGAATTTATTTAATATATCTAATAATTTAAAATCTTTCCCCTCTTTTTTATCTGCAGAAAAAATTAGCTTCTATCAATAAATACCATTACATAAAATTTATTTCTATTTTTAAAATATTTTCTTTTTGACTTAAAAAATTTAAACATTTCAATTTAACCAAAAAAGTTTTTATTTGAAGGAATATATAAGATGAGAGTGAGAGATTTTTCTGAATTCCCGCACTTTTTTTCTAGTTTCCGAACTTTTGCGGGAATGCTTTTTAGGAAGAATTTTGCAAATAGGGAGTCCTTTATCGGTCACTAATTTAAAATATTTAATATTTAAAATCCAAAGAAATTTTTCAAAATAATTTTTTTACTTAATGGAGATACCCCGTGAGAGAGAATATTTTTTTTAAATATTAAGAAAAATATTAAGAAATTTTTACAAATTTTATGGATTTATTAAAGGTGTGTGTATGTGTGTTTATGTAGTACTTCTTCCTTTTTAATTCTCTTCTCTTCGTTTCTTCTCTTTTTGCGCAAATGCTTTAAGCAACCGGAAGCTACTTAAAGATATTTGTTATTTCTCAATTTCCTTAAAAGAAATTGATGTGGATTTAAAATTTAAATTGATTTTTTAAAAAGAAAGGATTTAAATGTGTTTGTTTTTTTTGGGGTTTTTATTTTAAATGTACATTTTTTATTTAAGTTTAAGATTCCTTTAAAAGAGAATTTTCAAAAATATTTTCATTTCTTAATCCGCTTCTTAATTTTCCTTTACTTTTCGAATTTTTATAATTTTTAAATTTGTCTTATTCTAAAAATTCTAACCATCTGAAATCCACATTTAGCAACTAGACGAACTACCTCAACTACCAAAAATTCCAATTTTATAAAAGAAAGTCTTTTAACTCTTTAAATTTATTTAAAACAATAAAATATTTTTCAGATTTTCCGAAATTGGAGGGGGGTAATTATTAGAGAGTATATTGTTATTCCATTTTTTCCCTCTTTACAATCTATATAAATATATTTAATTTAAAAATAATTTTAAAATAATATATTTTTACTTCCTCAAAACAAAATAAATATTTTTCTATTTTTTTATTTGAATGATAAATTCAGACAATTATATTTTTCTTTGATCTTTCTATATTTTTATTTATTTAAAAAGACTAAAAATTCTAAATTTAGACTTTCTCTTTTGTTATTTTTTTTAAACAGCTGTTGTTTACTTTTAAATATTTTTTTTATTTAATGCACCCTGAAAAGTACATTAAAATAAATAAATATTTTTTTATTTAAAATTAAATTTTTAGTCTGACAAATTGTGAAAAATATTTTTGGATTATTTATTTATTTAGATAAATTAGTTATCTAGTTTTTTAATTGAAAATCTACTGAATTAAAAATTTTATTCAGAGATTTTTTAAAAAATAGAGATTATTTGAGTTGAGGTTTTTAATTATGATTTTTTTGATTTTTTAAAGTTTAAATTCTATAATTATTTTTTGTAAATTAATTATGTACTAAACTGCAAATTTTTTAATTTGTATAATATTTATAGAATTAATTGCATGGTTATTTAATTTTTTCGATTAATTTTTGGAACTAAAATTCATCTCAAATAAATATTTAAATGTTTTTTTTCTAGTCTTATCTTTTTCATTTTAGTTTACATATTTTTCAATTTCTAATCAATTATTTATTGACTAAATTCTTCTCTATTTTTCTCTTCCTCCCCCAAAATTTATTTTGCTGCCAGCTGCTGCCCATTCAGACAAATAAAATATTCCAAAACATTTAAATATTTTTTTAAATAATTTTATAATAAACAAAATAAATTTTTAATAATTTCTTCTTCTTTTTTTATTTCTGGTCAATATTTTCTTTCACAAATTTTCTACCTCCATTTATTTTTGTTTTTCAATTTATTAAAAATAAATTTTTAAATATTTTCTATTTAAAATTATCCCTTAAAAATAAAAATTATTTTTTTTTAAAATTATTAATTTTTATAAGATATTTTCTATCAAAATTTTTATTTAAAAAATATTATAATTAAATAAATTTTTTGAAATAAATTTTAATTAAAAAAACAATTTGCCTATTTATAGTATTTAATTTTGAATAAAAACAAAATTTAAATTTCCTAGAAATTAAATAATTTTTTTATTCAAATAATTTTTAACTAAATTTTATATTTAAATTCTTTTAATTTTTTTTTAGTTTTTTTCCTTTATTTTATTTATAGATTTACCTTTAAATTTTTTTGTATTTTTAAAAATATTTTTTTCCGTTTATTAAAATTTATTTTAAAAATTTGAAATTTTTTGGCACATTTATTCTTAATATAAGTTTTTATAATATGGGGTAAAAGAAAGTCTTATAACTTTTTTAAATTTATTTATTTTTCAGGAAATATAAAACTACAAAGATTTAATAAACAATGGAAATACAATAAAATAATTTAAAAAACTTCCTTATTTTTTAATTTAAACAGAAATTGTTTTAGTTTAAAAAAAAATATTTTCTGTTTCCTTTTCAAATGCTTCAGGCATTTGGAAGAATGCGCAAAATGAAATGGACAGAAGATGAAAGGAGAACGGCACAATTAAGTGAGGAAAAGGAGGGGAAAGGGGTTAAGTAAACTTGGGAGGTCTTTAAAAAATAAAAATAATTTTTTCTGGCATTTCTTGAATACCTAAAATATTAAAAAAAATTTTAAAAGAAATAACTGAAGACCAACAAAAAATGTTAAACGAAGAAATATTATTAATAAATAAACAACTTCCTTCGATTTTACTTTCTACAAAAAATGATGAGGATGATGAACAACAACAAACACAACCAAATTTAGAAATTAATAATCCTTCTTGCAGGTAAATTAGGGGAAAAAGAAAAGAAAAGTTTTCGGTGTTTTTAATTACAAAAAACTTCCAATTTTCAGCAGTCAACAACATTCCCCAGCAACCTCCCCAGGTTGTTCCTCTACCCATTCTTCCCGTTCATTTCATCTTCATTTTCCTTCAACAATGTCCAGTTTACGGAAATCTGGCATTAATTTAGTTAGAAATATTCCAAATAATTTAAGAAGGTCTTCACTTGCTATGTTTCAAGTAAATTTTTAAAAGAAATTTTTTTAAAAATTAATTTTTAAATTTTGGATGGGGAATGTAAGCATTACTAGTTTGGAAGAGGATTCAACAAATAATAATTTTAAAGTACAAAATTCAATCGAACAGAGTTCAACAACAACAATTAATAATAATAACATACTAGAACAGGTTTTTAATAACTTTGTGTTTATTAAATAAAATTTAGAAAAGAAAATAATCTTTAAAAATATAAACATTTATAAAATTAAATGATTAGATTAAAATAAAAAGTTCTCTAAATTTTAAAGAATGAAAAACAAAATTTCCAACGAATTCGATATCGAGGATTTGGAGGAATGACTATTTTAGCGACTAGAAAAAAGTCGGGAATAACTTCGAATAGCAATTGTGGTGCCGCCAAAAGGGCTATGAGGAAAAGAATTTTAGCCGCTAAAAGTGCATTGAGACGGTTATCGAATACTTCCTCCTCTTCGAATGTTCCAACTTCCTCCAGTGATTTATCAACGAGTACTATAATGGCTAAAGGGTTATTTTGTAATGGAGAGGATGAATTAGGTAAAGTTTTATTTTTAGTTTATCAGAAGAGATGGACACACAATAGGGAGGTGTCGAAAATTGATTGGTCCAAATTGAACCCGGAACTTGTAAAAAATTTACGTGAATTCAAAAAAACATTGGAAATTGGTATTCTGCCCCCCCCCTCATGTGTATATTCCCTGTTAGCCTCTACTAGGTTAATCATAAAACTTTTAAATAATTTTTTATACTAAAAGTTTTATTTTTTCTTGTAATATTTTCCTTTAATTTTTTTTGCAAAAATATATATTTATTGCACTCAAATGTTCTAAACTTTTTTACTAAACTTCTTTTTTAATAAATAAATTGAGAGAATTTTATAATTTTCTTTCTTTTTTTTATTCATTTGAGGCTACCTAATACTTTTTATTTTCCCCAAGAGAATTAATAAATAAATTTTTGGATTGGCAACTACTTTCCTTATATTTTTTATAGAATTGTGGCATCATCAAACAAATCCAGTAAAATTTGTGGAAGAAAAAAGAGAATTTAAATTAAAGAATATCTTTAAGGCAAATTGTGAAAATGAAGAGGAAGATGATGAATTTTGTGGTGGTAATAATTTGGTAAAGGAAGAAAAAAGAAAAATTAGTAGAAGGGAGGAAGAAAATAAAGAAGAAATATATGGGGAGGAGGAGGAAAAGGAAATGAAAATAAAAAAGAAGAAAAGGAGCTGGGCAGCTTCATTTGTTCCAAAAAAGAATAGCTTTAATAATAATATTGAGGTTAAAACACAAGAAAAAGGAAAAGAAGGAGAAGAAAAATTATTAAAAAATAATAATAGAAGAAAACCTTTAGGGCCTAGCCTTTCTTGGGATCCTCAACAACAAAGACAAATAAAAGAACAAAGGTAGAATTTAAATTAAGTATTAGACACGAAACGATAATTTTGCTGCTGAGATTTTGGGGAGAGGGGGAGGGGGGGGGGAGAATATCTCGATAATGACTCTCAAAAAACGTTGCTAATGAGAATAAAAAGAAAAAATTGGGGGATTTGGTTGAGTTAGCTTTTTAAGTGAAAATTTTTTAAAATAAAATTTTCTTTTTTGGAGCGTTGCCAAATTAATTTTAATTAGGTAAAGAAGGAACGGAAACTTTGATAATTTTGGGAGGAAAGGATAGAAAAACTCTCTTTTCATTTCTTTTAATTTTCCTAAAATATTTCTAGATCAGTCATTTCCTCTCCCGGAAGCCAAACTTCACGGTCACGAATTCATTCAGACGGAAGTACTAAAAAGCCTTCAATATTGAGCAGAGAAAATCTTTGGCCTTTTTCTTCTTTAGGCAAATCTTCCTTTACTTCTTCTGAGGAGAAAAAAGAAAATATTAAAAAACAATTTTATCCACAAAAGAAAATATCCACAGCTACATTACTTGGAAAAAAGAGGAAAAAGAGCAGTTCTGTTGTTTTTTGTAAAAGAGGAAATCGTTCAAATTCATTGAGTGCTTTAAGTGGCGATTTGTTACCGATTGAAGATGGCGTTAATAAAACTGCTTTAGAATTAAATTGGTTGGTTTTTAGTTTAAAAACAAAGGGAATTGGGGATGTTTGGATTTGTTTTGGGATGTTTTTCTTGTTGGGGATTTGTTAATGTTTGGATTGTTTTTGTGTTGGGAATGTTTGGATTTGTTTTGGGATGTTTTTCTTGCTAATGTTTGGATTGTTTTTGTATGTTTTTCTTATGTTTTGTTTGTTTTGTGTTTGGGAATGTTTGGTTTGTTGTTTAATGTTTTGTTTTGTTAATGTTCGGATTGTTTTTGTGTTTCTCTTATGTGTTATTTTCTGTTTCTGTTTTGTTCTTTGTGTCTCTTCTGGTTCAATGTTTTTATCGTTTTAATGTTTTTGTTGTTGTGTTTATTGTTATTTTAATATTTTCTTTTAAACATAAACGTTTCTATGGACGTAATTAACAAAACATCTTTTTAACCTTTACCATAAAACTAAACATTTTTGTTTGCCATAAAACACACATTTTTATACAATATTTATCTTCTCCTTTTCACATTATTAAATGCTAACAATAACAAATAAATAAATGGAGTTAATATAAAGAATGGAATGTTTGCAGAAAAAAATCATTAAAAAAGAGGGGGTGGTGTAGCGTTGGATTCATCATAAGCATTTCCTGCTTCTCCGCTATATTTTCTCGTGAATAATAAAAATATATGCTAGTAAATGATTTTCTTAATTTAAAAAACCACATTCACTCATCTTTGCTCTCTTTTCTTGATTTCTTTATTTTTAACTTTTTTTAAATTGAGATTTTATATTTTTAAATTGGAGATTTTCAATCCCCTAAACATTAATTTTAAGCCTTCATTGTGCTCTTCTTGCCGAATATAGAACTAGCGGTTTACGTGCTGAAATTGAGTGTGCCGTTAAACGTCTAGCCGCCCGTCTCACTTTCAGTGGTTCTCCTGCCCGTGCAAGACGTATGTTTGCAGATCATCACCACCACCACCAGCAACAACAACGAGAAAAGAAAACTTTAGAAGAGAACGAAAGGCAAATGGAAATGCTTCGCCGTCAAATGGGCACTCCCGATATTGTGGTTAGTATCTAGGAGGACACTAAAAAGTTGAATTTCTGGCTTCTTAAGCACTTGAAACTCTCGAAATTTTTGTCTAAGGCGCTAAAGATTTAACGAACATCGAGCGTAAATCTTTCAATCTCCCAAGGCCCTCCGACAATAACCAACATTAATATCAACAGCATAATTATAAATCTATATTTTCTCCTTAGGTATCCTCCTGTAATTCTGAAGGAACACCCGAAAGTGCAGATGAAGGTTTTTGGACTAATCCCTCACCCCAACATGTGGAAGGTTCAAATTGCGGGAATGATCGGTAAATTTCTAAAAGAAAGTCGCTTTTGTAAGAAAAGGGGCTTTTTGCTGTTGTTTCTGATGTTTTTCCGCATTTTACTATAAAGAAAACTCCAACTTTACAAGACTCCCCTAGTCAAAAAATGCCAAAAAATATTTTTAAAAATTATTTTAGTTGGAATACTTTAAATAATCAAGAATTAACAACAACAACAATAACTAGTGGTATTCCTTCATCTTTATCTTCAACAAATTCCCCACAACATTCGGGAGGAGGAGATTTATTAATACAAGATAGAAGATTTGTTAAAAATGATGGAGGAAATATTATAATGGATACTTTAAAACCTCCCGGTTTTCCTTTTGGAATTCCTTTACTTTCAAATTCTTCTCCTTCAAATTCTTCTTCATTTTCTCCTTGTTATACTAGTAATTGTTCTTCAATAGATAATGGAGGATTAAATCAATGTTCTTCACCTCCACGTAGCAATAGTGTTGATTTAAGTCAATTAAGAAGGGATATTGAAGTTATTATTTGAAATTAAAAAATAATAAAAAATATTCTTTAAAGTTATGGAGTGTTAGTAGTTTAAGTAGTGCTGAAGCTGGGTCTTCAACAGGAGAGAGAACTGCGGGTAAATAAATTGAAATTAAAAGAAATATTTTTAAAATTTTGTTTAAACATTCAGGAATTTCCACGCCAGGCGGGGACTCTATTCGAACTGTTCGTTCACGTTCTTTTGATCCAAGTGGTTCCCCTGATTGTGTTTTAAGACGTCCAAGTCGAATAGAGCATTTATCTGAAATATTTAGGTATTTTTTGACAGATAATTTAAATAACTTATTTAAATATTTTTTTTATTTTGCAGGTTAAATATATATGCCCATTCAATTCTTATTTTCATTTTTTCATTTTTTAATTTTCTCTTTTCTCTATTTCTCTTAAAAAATTAAAAAAATTTATTAATTAAATTAAAAATGTTAAAAAAATAATATTATTTTAGAAAGGCTTTGGCTAAATCTCCAGTCGTTAAAAGAGCAGCGGCTTTACAAGAACAAGAACAAAAACGGGCAACAAAACATCGTACAAGTCGATATTGGTTAGAAGAACAAGTAAATAAAAATATTTTTTGAATTAATTGAAAAAATTCTTTAGATAAATTCATCAGAACATATTTGGTTACCCTCTTGTTCAATTTCCTCATCAACAAATGTGGATACAGAATGTTATTTAGGGGAAACAGATTGTGGAAGAATAGGGGAAAAGAGAAGATGTGCTGCTTGCCATATTGTTGCACATACTGCTTGTTTTCCTTTATTGGCGAAGGTAAAATGAATTAAGGGGATTCCACTAATGGGGGATTCCGGTTGTGTTTTCTCGTTAATTCTTAATTATTCTCTTACAAAGGAGGGTGCCTGGGGTGTCCGTGGGACTTCAGGATGAAAATTTGAAGACAGTTTCCTTTGCAGACAGTTTCCATGGATAGTTTACTTGCGAGGGAACTATCCAAAAAAGCCAAAATTTGGTTAACTATCATCTACAGTATGCTAAGATATATATAGTCTCCGTTGTAAGCATTTTATCATATTAAGATGAAATTATTAAAATATTTCTTTTAAATGTTTTGTTTAATTCCTTT